GCCAGTTCTTGCATTGACTTAAGTCTCCTTTCTTTGATAGTTTGAATAAGTATCCTTTCTTCCAATCCTCGGGTACTTTGCCTTCTTTCCACACCTTCTCCAGTAGTGGCGTCATCAAGTCCGCTATTGTCTCTAGGTCCGTTTTCAATGCTTCTGCTGGGATTCCATCTGGTCGTGCTGCTTTTCCAGCTTTTAGCATCTTGATTGCCTTCAGGACTTCTGATTTCGTCGGGAGGTTTATGTTCACTGGTAGTTCTGCTTCCGTCGTTGGTATTGTTGGGCGCGTTGTAGGTGGTGGTCGATTTAGGAGTCTTTTGAAGTGTTCAGCCCAGTTTTTCCTTTGCTCCACTTCTTTGTTGAGTGACTTTCCATTGTCATCCTTCACCGGCTTAATTTGTGTCAAACTTTTGCCCAATAGGTACCTAGTTATTTGGTAGAGTGTTGCGAGGTCTCCTTTGCCTGCAGCTTGTTCTGCTTCACTTTCCACGGTTTCATAATACTTTCTTTTGTCTTCCCTGGCACTCTTCTTTACTCTTTTGTTCAGTGTATTGTAGCTTGCATTCAACTCCTGTTTCCGTTGCTCGTCGGTGCACTGGATAATCTTTTGTTTCACCATCTTTCTTTCTTTTATTAGTCTCCAAGTGTCCGTGGTGAGCCATTGTTTGTCTTGTCTCTTCTCTCTGCCTAGAACTTCCATGCAGATTTTACTCCACACTGTTTTCAAGTTGTTCCAGTGCTTTTCGACGCTGACCTCCTCGCTAGTGCTAATTTGTGTCTCGGCTTTGTCCTTTATGCTTGCAGTGAAGATGTCCTCTGTGTCCTGGTCCTTCAGTTTTTGAGTGTTGAACTTGGCTTGTGGTCTATCTGCAGCTGCTGTTTCTCTGAAAGCTTTTAATTTGATTTGGATTGTCCCTTGTACGAGGTAGTGGTCTGAGCCAACGTTTGCTCCTCTTCTTACTTTCGTGTTCAGTAGGCTGCGCCTCCACTTCCTTGAGCAGCATTGAGATGAAGTCAATTTGGTTTTTGGTTCACCCACCTGGTGACACCCATGTAGCCTTGTGGATATCCTTGTGTTTGTATACGCTACCACCAGTCACTAGTTCATTGATGGCGCAGAAGTCGGTGAAGAGTTCTCCGTTTTCATTCATTTCTCCGAGAGCTTCTCTACCCATGATGAGTTCCCTTCCTATGTTGTCTGATCCTAGTTTGGCGTTTATGTCTCCCATTAGTATTTTAATGTCTCCGACTGGAGTATTGTCCATAGTTGCCTGTAGTTGTCTGTAGAATTCTTCTTTCTTTTCGAGGTCTGCGTTATTTGTGGGTGCATAGCATTGTATAACTGACACTTTCCTTCCTTTGGAGTTGAATCTGGCAGTTATTATCCTGGGCGAGATCGCCTCCTATCGCATCAGGGTGTTCGCTGCCGTTGGTGACATTATGATAGCCACGCCCTCGGTGTGCATGTGGTTATCCTCTGGGTGACCGGAGTAGATCACTGACTCACCCGTTGACAATTTGGTGAGTCCATTCCCTTTCCATCTGCTTTCACATATCCCCAGTAAATGAATTCCGTATCTTTTCATTTCGTTTGCGATCTGGGCAGCTTTGCCAATCTCGTACATGGTGGGGACATTCCATGTCTCCACACAGACGTTTTCTTTTGGCGCAAGGAGATTCATCGTGCAGAAGTTTCTGTAGCAGCTTTGTTTACAGGGTGGGGTTGATAGCCTCACGCCTGAGAAGGGGAGAGAGAAAAGGTTAGTGTTGCGTGACCGCAAAGCCCAGGGGATAACTGCTTGAGGCCGGTCAAACGCGGCCTGTTTTTGGTTGTTCTTTCTTGTTTGGTGTGTCTCAGTAGCATATTTATCAATTCTGCCCTGTGACACAGCAGCAGGAAGCGCGGTCTATGTTAATCCGAGCCACGACCGATCCGGCATAATATTTTGTGAATTTGTTTGAAACATAGTATTGGATTGGGTACCTGCTTTTTGTCTAACCGCTATCCAAACAACGTTTCTGGCAAGGTAGGACCTACAGGAACATAAGTTCCAGCCAGTGTAGCTCGTTTGGTCATTGCGATATGCAAGCCCGACCACCACATCAAGGTAGCAGCTATTGGTCGGGCATTGTATGTTACATAAAACAATATTGTATACTTCATCCAGCAAATACTGCGTTAAAACAGGGTTTCTGTATACACCGAAAAAATCCCTGAAAATCCAAGAATTATTCAGCAAATGTTTTGTACCGAAAATGAATGCCCTTTATTGGGAAATCCGGAAAGATACCAATAGCTGACTCAATAGCCTTCAGTCTGGATTCACGATCACACATTACGCAGAACGGGAGAGGACTAAGAAACTGAAATAGTTTGAAAGCATCATATAGTCAAAATACACAGCAAAACTCATCAAAATTAAGACCTTAATGAGAATAATATGAACTTATATCACGAAAATAGTTAAGAACTTCAGCAAGTGTGCCGATGATAAATCTACGTTACTAATGGCTCCAACATAAACAACAGAAATTTCTCAGTGTGTTTTTAATACAGTGGAAAGCAAAATAAACAACGGCGATGAAAAGAAATAGAGTAAATGGAGAAAAATTATAAGGACGAGAATTAGAGCTGTCTTAATGACTTACCATGTTTCTTAAAGTCACTGTAGGATATTTCACATATTTTGCACACATTTATCTCATCTCATAAAACCACCGAAACACTAAGTAACTTATCACTAATTACTAAGATTTATGGCCAAGTAAAGCCTATTATCGTATTTAAATAGCCTAGTCCCTGAGAAAGTACGAAAGCTTTTTACAGCTAACCTGACGCTTGAAGCAGTTACGTTTCACATTAAGTTAGTATGCTGATGTATACTTCGAATAGGCACGAGGATTATTCAACACGTAGTTAAGTTGTTTCGGATTTTTAGTCTTATCATGGTAAATTAAGATAAGACCATTCAAATGTATACTATTATTTTAGTCTGATTCTGGACAAGCTGGAACTACTACTACGTTTGGTCATCAGTCCAAGAATGCGGTTCCGCGGTACATTTCAAATACCCTTGAGTAGTCCCTGAATTTCTGAGGCATAAAACAAAGACAGTGAAGTCGATGACTTCTTCTATACGGGTCAGAAACTTGGACTGCGTATCACAAACAGGGTTTCCCACAGGTTTCAGACTTCCATCAACGGTTGCCTTCACTGCCTCCATACTGAAGATCAAGTTGTCAGGAAGAATAAGTAACAAGAAAATGTGGGAATAAACCAACCGAGAACCCACCGCTCAACACATATGTAGGAGGAAATGGGGATAGATCGGGCATACATTGAGCAGCCCGCCGAATGACATCGCACGCAATGAAGGCCATCACTCGAGTGAAATCCCAGTGGGAAGCGAGGGTAATATGGAGAAGATTGTGTGAGGAGGAGATGAAAGATTGTGGCAACCGTCGTCCAAGATGAAGAGTGCAGCAGAAGATAGGACAAAGTGGAGCTGTGTTGTTGAAGCCCTATGTTCCATTCGGATCTCAAGGGAATAATAATAATAACTGTAAATCCTGAAGAATCGAAACCAACGTAATAGAACTAAATGCCACATATGCACCATTAAATATACATTAGAGTGCATCGAAATTCTGCAAGTGGCACATGTAAATGATTCTTGTTGAACTGAACAGCTAGTAATCGTTTTGCAGTGATTCAAATCTAGTTTAATTACAGGTAATGAAAAGAGAGAGGGTTTTTCATATGTTCATATCTAATCAAAAGCTGTGGAATTGGAAATATGAGAAATGCGTAAAAATTGACTAATTAGAATGTAACACTTGAAGTACCCATTTTGTGACTTTAGACTAAAGTTTAGGGTTGTTGTGACAGTCGTGCGGTAGGGTAGAATTTCATGATAGGACAAATTTATTTGGCAGAAGAACACAATGATATGGTGTTATTTGCTGATGATATCGTCAGTTAATAATGCTATAGTCATTGTGTCTTTCTACCAAATAAGTTTATTCTCTAATTGCTATGACAGCGATTTTACAGATTATATGGTGATAAAACTAAGCGTTCTCATACACATAATCAAAGCACTTTAAAATCAATACGCACTATTTCTGTCAACTGAAATGAGTGTTTACACGATTGACAAGGTAAAATAATCTATTAATCTTGAATTTTCATTCCGCCTCTACGAATAACCATAAGCGCGATGTCTAACATATACAAACAGCTTGTAGACTTCTGACAGAAATGATTTCAAAGTACAGTGAAAGTTTCACCTGAAAGCAGTGTAAATCCCAAATCGTGAATTACTATACCTATTGTGAATAATTATGTCCAAGACAATTTGTACAGAATCAGAAATTTAAAGAGAGTCTGTTAATAAAGCACTCTATCTTGTGAGCCAATAACTAATTACATCGAATCCGTACTTTATTAACTATCCTTCCTTGATTGCCTTTGAATGAGTGAGATGATACGCTGAAGTGTATTGTTTCTTTCTTTATGCAGAAATCAGCTAGATAACTTGAGAAAGTTGTGGTTTTCTAGAAGTAACCGCCTGGATGCTCATGGGATTCTATCATCATGAGACAACAGAAACAATGTAACATCTTTTGAAGACATTTTCAATTTCAAACATTCTGTTCTGTAATTCTTTCTGTCTGTCCGGTTATCCTTTAAATATTGATCAAGTGATCAAAGCGACAGCATCACACTTAAGAATCCTTCAGTGTGACTTATTGAATGTAAATCAGCATACTCATTATGATAGATTTGTATTTTTACTCATTGTTTTGGTTAACTTCGTGCTCACATAAAGGTTAATGTCAGGAGATACAGACACAAAAAGTACAAACACATTTGTTGATTTAATTATACGCAGTTTAGAATTATAACAAGCATGTAAATATATTGTCTTTTTGAACATTATTCCTATTGGTTGAAATGTAAAACTGCCTTTGAGTTAGACGTTTTCCTTCATTTCGTGTGTCCATGTGTGCTGACAGTACAGATAACTAATTGATTGCCTGATAAATGGCTCTCTTTTGCGAGACTCTCTGAGAAATGTGGTAAATCTTCGATAACATTATTTCACTCTATGTGGAAAGTAAGTTGTTGTGATTATATTAACACTTCATGCATAATGTTAACTGAATTTCTCTATATCACTTATCTGCATATATTCGATAAACTAATATTGTACATGTGGTTATCCTTGTGTAAATGTCGAAGTACTTTTGATCATAAACTAAATTAGTTTCAGTAGGATCACAAAACAACGCCGTTGGATTACTCCGAAGACTAAGAAAGTCCGAATAGCTGCATTATTAAATACTGCAAGATGAACTGGAAATAACACTTCAGTTCCCCTCCTTTCATGATACTTTCCTGTTCTAAGTTGAAGCGTAATAAAGTTTAATTAGGCAATCAGGCTATCCTCACCAGACTTTTCAACTAAACTGTGGTAACAAACAGGCGCATCAAACACCTGTTTCTCGCAATATAGCCTTCTGGTACTTGATAAATAGTGACCTAGCACTTGTAATTCTTAGCACCTATGGTACATCGACAGTAACGATATGTCAGTTGTGTGGTAATACAAAAGTTTAACTTCGTTACTTCGGCTGATAAGTCTAGTGTGACAATGTCTGAAAAGTATCATTAATACACGTATTCTTGCTATCTTTGTAAAATTCAGTGGTCTGAAAACTTTAAGATAGTACATTGAAAGTATGTTACCATAAGGACAGAATGCTTACTTAATGGAACGAATCGTTTTGTATTTCTGAAGAAGAAACCTTTTAATTAGGGGAATCATCCACACTGGTGAAGTAATTCACTGTTGCGAAATCACTATTTAGAATGCCTAGTCTTTTCTCACTGTAATTTACTGATGTGTAGACCAATGTCAGATTAACGTGTTTTGCCCGGAACGATAGGGGTCTATCAAATAACACTCACCGTTACGAATTACACGACATGTCTTCCCTTGTGCTTCTACGCAATATTTCATCAGTGAACAGCTTTAGTCTGTGTACACGCTTTACAGCTTACCAATGCAGTTTCTCGTAGTAAGGAGTATACCGTTTGTAGACTTGTACGAGATCTCAAAGATATTGGTTAATTATTCAACAGTCTTTTATTTTCGGAAGGTTACTTCTTTTATTCCTACTTAACACAGTTAGCATGATAAAAATCCTTATAATCGTCGTTTTCACAGCAACCAAATCAACCCACTTGTCTAAAACCTTTCCTACTGTTTTTAACTTGTCCAGCAGGGGCATCTACTCGGAATACTATCATATCACAGAATGCACAGCGACATAAAGTGTTTTTAAAATAAGTAATTAACTAGCCGAATCCTGCAGCTAACTTGAGTCCGAAAGCACCCAGTGAGTTATGCAGAAAATAAAAGACAGTTCAGCGAAGAAAGTTATTCACATTGACGGAATCATCTTGAGACGCTGTATAGCCTTATTCATATTTACCAAGAACATACACTTGTCTATTATTGAGTAATAGGGGGTACTGCAAGTGACACAATCACAGAGAAGTGGCTTCCAAAAAAAAATTAAAAAGCACACCATAGTCAACAATACAATGGAAGAGAGAGTCTGAAATTTGATAAGATTAAAGTTGTTATTGAACGAAAGGTAAGGCAGCTGAGTGTCCACTGGACAAGTGTGAAGAGAGGGAGAAAATGTACAAAAGGAAGATGTAAGAATGAGAATGGTGAATTAATTAGTAAAAATGAAAGCGAACGATTAGGAAGAGGTTGAGACATGGTTGATTAAGAGACTGAACAGACCTTCTCCGTACACAGAATTGCAGGTTTTATTGACCATCTCCTCCTCCATACAAAAGTGCAGAAACCCAACAACTCTCGTACGTCTCAGTCTCATTTTGAGAATAATCTCAGAAGACGACTCTGGCGGAACTGCGTGGCTTGAGTTCAGCTGGTGTCAGAGAGTTGAGCTAGTAATTGCCTCTCACTGTCCGCTCACTAACCATACTGGATGATGTTCAGAGATGAGTTTGGAAAGTGGGTACTTTGTGCGGCCGACATAACAAGCTCCATATGAGCAAATGAATTTATAGGCACACACTGGAGTGGCTCAAAGCAGCAGTTTTTTCCACACACATCCATTGACCATTTGTCTACTGTAGAAATTGATCCGTAGCTCAGCCAGAAAGAAAGCTTTTCTCAGCGATCTGGACAAGCGTCTCTTCAAAATCTCAGCTGAGGTATCACGTTCAAATTCGACACGCATAAAGAGCAGTTTCTTCGGCACCGTTTGCGTTCTGTCATGCTTCTGCTTTACTTTCATGCTTTTCTCGATAAATCATCTAGGATATCCACCTCTAATGGGTGTTTGTCTGAGTCTGTCTAGTTCATTGCCGACTGAATCACTGGTGCATATCCTTCTCACGTTTACGGTAAATAAAGGTGTGATTTATCATCCTCTGAAAATGATTTCATCGACAAAGAAACTTTTCTACACAGAATTGTCGTTTACTAATTTAAGTTTGTGTTTCTATTATTCAGAGTAGTTGCCTTCCGTGACTGTTCAACTATCTAGTGGTTTTCAGATTCTAGCTGACCTTCGTAATGTTAACAACTCCAATATATTATATGAGTCATTATGAGAAACATGTCTGGAAGTATTTATTGATACTTTGATCCCTGGCCATATCATGTATTTATACTTTGATGAGTGTTTGAGATCACATTTGACTGTGATACAATGAAAAAGTCACCTGAAAATGTAAAACATACATTGTTTGAAATCGACCACCGGGAATGTATAAAAGTTGCAACTCCTCTATCTCATTTCGTTTTGGAACAAAGTCGACCTTGTTTGAATAATGTGAAACCATTAAGTGAGACCAGATTATCACCACAGGGCTCATGAAGTCATGTTTCTGGTAGTTTGATTATAGCCATGTTGGGATAAGTATCACATGATAGGAGAGATCTCAGATGCGTAATCTTGTTGGGAAGAGAACGGCAGTTTTTAATAACGATGACAGGAACAGTAGTTGGAAATAAAGTTGTCCGTTTCAGAGCACGCTGCCATCCACCATGATGCTTTGTCTCAGCTCCCTTAGAACCTAGGTAGTCCCTAGCTTTTAAAAATGTATGAAGTCTTGAGAATATGTGATATGATTTGTCGCCATATTTTGATAGATGAAAATGAAATACGACAAATTAGATGCAATGTGTAGATGGAAGTATTGTCGCCCAACTCTCAAACAGGCCACCGTATATCCCTCCAGTTAGAATTATGTTATGTTGTCACTCTAGTCTTATTGCATTAAAGATTAGACGGAAGCACTTGAACAGAGATTACTTCGAGACAATGATTTGAAGTAAAGTCGTTTTCTTAACAGTCATTCAGTGACCATGTTTAATCAAATTCACATCACATCTCAGTGTTCACTAATAGATAATACAGACTTATGTATTCAATACTCGTGTAAAAGGAATTAATATTCATATTTATAAGTCGCTAAATGTCACAACACAATTCCAGCCTCTACCGAGTCATCGCAACGTGTTCAGAAAAGCAAACCATGATTTTCCTGAATATTTTCAGCAGACCTATTTGGAGTACACGTATATATATATATATACATGTATATATAACCTGAAATACTGTTGTCTATTTCAAACTTTTTACTTTTCCCTTCACCATATTCTTCAAGCTAACTTATTTCACTACAAAGCTTTGTTGTCCTTCTAGTCAGCACTGAATTCAAAATAAAGTCAGCTTTCTAACTTCTTTTTTTTCTAACTTCTACGTGATCAAAATTTTCCGATGACCTTGCATGTGATCCTGGACTTTTTAATTTTTAATTTTATTTGTTTTATTACAGCTTGATTCCACACAGTATTTTGGTACAAGTATGAAATTTTCAGCATGTGATATCGGTAGCCCAAATTTAGCAGGCCAACGATAGATATCAGGTGTGCGTGGGCGGGGATTCGAACCTCGGACCATGTGCATGGTCGGCGAGAGTCCTCACCGCTGTGCAACCGACGCACAAACAAACACTGGTATAGATCACATTTGTCGCATAATAAAGAATAAGTCATGTGATCAGGTGTCAAATATCCGGTGATTACCAATGCGAGTGGTTAAAATGATAGGAGAATCTCCGGAGACAGCAGGTTACAGTCGAGGTTCCTAGGAAAGACGATTGTTCAGTCGTAGTGGATTCCTGAAGTATACTTCACTTTAAAGTTGATACTGAAAGTGTCCTCCTAAAGGACAATGGAAGCCTTACAATTAAATCATCCAGCTCCGGGAACACAGCATCGCCAAAACGCACACGAACTTGTCTAATTCACACTGATTAACCACTATCATCTTGAAAGACACATCAAGCATAGTATTACAAAACAATGAGAAAATCGTGTCATATTCCTCATAGTTTGGAACACCGTCTTTTTAGCTTGTGTTAGATAAATCTGTATTATTAACCGGGTGAATTTACTTCCAGGAGTGCTCGACCAGTTATTAGTTTTCTGGAAAGGAGCTAGGAATATTAAGGAGGAACAGGCACAAATGTAGATTAGGTGAATATAGACTGAAACGAAGTTGGAGTTCAGTGTTAGCTATGATTGTTACGAAAGTGAACTTTATTTTATTCCTTTTATTGAGTATGTGAATGCAATGACAAATATAAAAAATATTACATAGATCCAGAGAAGTAATCAAAAGTGGTAAATTCAGCTGTCTTTACAAGAAGCTTAAGTAACTATAAACGTCTGAGTTACGAGTTTTTCAATGAAACAAGGGGGGGGGAGAGAAGAAGGGGATCATCAACAAATATTAGTAGAGAAATTTTTATCCAATTGTAGACCAAGATACACACATGGGTGGATATATGTCTTCTGGATGCAGATATCAGGTTTTGTGGCACTGATTACTACCACTTCATTCGCAGATGGGAGACGTAGCCGCCTCCTTTTCATAGGTTCCTAGGACCACGACATATCGCGGAAAACGTCCACACAGGCGGCTGAAATGGGAACCATTTTCTCAGCCAAACTGGTATTCCCGTAGGTAGTCAATGATTAATTACTGCCGGTGGCCTCTTCAGTCTTTATCCAAACGTTCAACTGCTCCTGCGAAGCTGATTTAATAGACCATACTGGGGCGACCTTATTTGCACACCTTGAAAACTCGCCAGTATTGTTAAGTAAGAGAGGAACTAAATGCACCAGCAGTGTGGTCTTATCTCTCTTTTAGATGGTGTGCGTCAGGCTGATGATCGCCAACCTCCACTGCGACCACACCACACGATCACTTTATTAGAGTTGTTTGTCATCTCTTGAACTGACCCCCAGCGTTTGCCTATTTGTAGTATTCACATTTTCTCTCACTTCACAGATTATAACTGAAACTGTGAAACCTGTGTTTTGTTGACCAGAAATTTACAAGCGCCATTCCAGTGTTTCATCTCATGTCCGCATTGACTGTACCACGTGAATTACAAGAGAAACTAACTGTTTACTATTCCTTCTTCTACTTTATCTTTAATTGATCCCATAAACCATAACGCGCTTTCCGACATAACATAAGTTTGCCTTCACTGACTATTGTGGGCTAATGCCAGTTGAGTATGAGGGTCAAGTTATTTAAACGACTCATCATTCTAGTTATTCTTCCCTTTCAAACGTCATGACGATACTCTGAGTAAATGTTACTTTGTGGTATTTAAAATTTGTCACGCTGACATAGATCCTGTATTTACGACAAAAGAATCACATCGAGTGATTTGATTTGTGTTTAAATATGCCTCAGGTAGATGATTAACTCTGTGACCATGAATAACATTTCGCCATTTCGCTAATTTCTTGGTTGGTAGATAAGAGTTTCGTTTAGACGGAACTGGATAATTTTGACATGACCTAGTAGTACGATTGATGTGCTTCACTTATTCCTCCACTCTGGCAGCATTCTATTGAGAATGACTCATGCTGTCTTGCATCTTATCGTGACATGAACAATTTGACAAATCTGGTCTGGAGAAAGTTTTTCTTGATCGGATAATCATGCTGCTTTTATATCTCTTGAAATCAGAGTTTAGTGGTAGACAGAAGTACATGGTAAATTAACAAACTTTCTCTTAAGAGGTAATCGAAAACACTGAATCTCGTTAACAATAATCTTTTATTACACCATCAGCATGCATTCGGATTGTTGCATGAAAGGCAGGTTGTACAGAGTCAAATAATTCTTGAAATAACTTAGAACAGGTTAAATACATCATACGAGTTTATTAGCATACTCAGTGAAATACAGATGTATATGTGAACTGAACCCGCTTCTTCGTTTGAAGATTATGTACATTGAAATTCCCCATTAGTGATATAAAAGAAAAGGTGTTCAGTGAAGCGTTAACAAAAGTACATACTAATGACTAATCTATATTTAAATAGTCAAGTAGTTAATGGTATGTAAAGATTGAAGTCTATTGTCTTTTGTACACATAGTTCAGGCTGTATGTGATTAATCCAAAGTGCTTCCATCACCTTCAATAACATTGAATTAGAGTTATGTGAAATAATTGTGAAGCAGTCATTAATATTGATTTCGTGACCTGACATTGATAAGCGCTTTGCAATGGGTGATGCTGGATTTCTATTCAGATTAATTGCATTGGGATTTTCAATGTTTTAATTACCATTTTGGAGCATGTTCTTTTCGACGGCATTGGAACATTCTATTAGTTCTACCTATATAGGTGTCACCGCAACTGCACGTGAACTTGTAGATCGTAGGTACAGGGATCGAAAATGTTCGAGATGTGATGGGAAGAGATGTGACGTAGAGTGTGCGCTTGGTGGCTGACCGAAGTCTCTGAGCTGTCAACTGCATCATTTGATCAGCCTTGAATGGTAGGTTAACAAAGATGACTTTCCTTGGTGCAGAAGCTGTCTTTGCAGGATGTGGTCTATGCTTACTGTGACAATTGATAAAGTTTTCTAGATGACCACTAGCTAATAAAACTGACTGTATGTGTCAAAGCTCACCTATCAATGTGTTGCTCGTACATAATTTGCGGCCCCTTGAAAACAAACATTTCACTAGGGAACGTTTATACTGGATAGGAACGAAACCGGTGAAATGAAGATATTGTCCACTCCATGTCTGTTCACGAAATATGGATCGCTTAATTGTTCCATCGTCTCTCCTGGTCACTGAAATATCCAGGAAACCGAGTTTGTTATTCAGCTCGAATTCGGAAGTCAACTGGATATTTGGATGAATGTGATTAAATAGAGTAATAAAGTTCTCAATAGACTTACTATTATTACCAATAATTGCAGACGTGGTGGTAGAATGTAATTCCACATTAGCTAGATTTATTTTTGAACATCACACAGCGATGCAGTACCGACAACTGGATGACGCTTCGAGCCCAATTTATTGTTAATACCGCATCACTGTGTGGTACTTAACGATTTTTCCTCTTTTTCTTAAACACGTTGAGAATGTTTTAAGATACTTATAATGATTCATTCTGACTCAAATGATTCCAGGAAATTCGTAACATCTACGGTCTGGAAACTTATAATCTTATTTTAAAATATGTTTGCGAAAATGGAATCTGTGGGATGGCAGAATGCCTACCACCCTTCCAACTGCTATGTCCCTTTATCGGGGACATAACATTGATGCTACTCTGAGGTATTTATTCTGTAAGACACTCAGGATATGAATACTGCCTGACTGTTAGTTGACCACAAATTGACGTATGCTTTATATGCCGGTTATCCACGGACTGGTTGCGACCTTTACAAAGTTAGTCACAGGTTACATGTATAGGAAGCAGATACATCATTCACCATAAATTGGGCTAGATTATTTGGCATTAGGTCAATAACAAGTTAATTGGAAAGATTTATAGACAATTTCACTTGTTCCTCACTTTTAGGAATTCGAAATAATGCGGCTTTTGGTGGTCAGTTTGCCCTCAAAACTACTTATTCTCCTGTTGATATTCTTCGGTTTCATGTATGTAATCTACTTGGTGGTCATAAAATCAGATGAACATGTCCCAATATGTGTCCTCAACTATACATCGGTCCTTGATAATCAGTTCAAAGAGGTAGGTCATATTTCTGTTTCTATCCTGCTTCTTTTAAATAACAGTATTTTCACTGCAAATGTATCCGTACTCGATGATCATTTTTATTCTTTTACTGGCACATTTTTGTCGACGAAATGATACTAGCGAACGAAAGTTGTCAAATTCGAAACCAACATTAGTGTTTGAGTTTCTTTGGCTCTCAAATATGCCGTCAGTTTCAAGATATCCTGCCTAATCTGAAGGTCGACACGTCTCTGATTTATTCTGTTTTCTCAATGTCTATCCTTCTACGTCAGCAACTGGAGACTTTACTACCTTACTGTCTCCAGTGACTGCATATGTATTTCACAGGTAACTAGGTGGTGTCTAATTTATTAGATCATAGTCAACTGCTTGGACAGTATTTTCACTGCGCCTATAGATTGTTTGTGGAGAATCACAATTCCGAAAGTATTCCAGTGGTATGCAATAAACGAGTGAATAATTCTGTTTGTCTGCTTACCATTCAAATTCGTTACCTAGTCATGACTATATTCGAGTGAGGCATTCTCTGTTGTACCACTGAATCGTTTGCATGTCAAAGCCAACAATTTTCAGACACGTCCCAACGCCTTTTGTGAGTATCCATCTGTAACCACACGAATAGGTGAGATGTGATACGATTTCCGTTTGTTATTTTTGAATGCCAACTTCATGATATTTATGTTTACCCGAGGTTCTTTCAGTAGGATATCAACAAAAGAGTCACTAAAGTTAACCTAAAATCAAACTTAATTACATCAGCACATACAACGGAGAGGGGTCTAGCAATTATTAATGATTAATAATAAACTGCCAGTAAAGTCCGACAACCACACTATCCCTGAACTGAAACTAAATTTTCCTTCACAACGTCTGATAAAACAGACACATAGAAGTAGAGGGCAGATAGGAGGATAAGCGCAGTTGTACTCAAAACAAGGTGCGTCATACACACGAAAATATCATGTAGATGCCAATAGATCAGGTAAAATATTCTATGTCGTTTCGAGTTGAAAATGTCTTAAGTTCAAAACGAGCAGTGTGACACGTAAATCTGCTGGAGGAATCAGTCATTCTTTCCAGCAAGCATTACTTCCGTGATATCTACGGAAAGGAGTAGAATGTCAGTTCATTGATTTTGCTGTATTACTGGGGATCGAATGACCCCCGAATATGGTTGGGATATAACAACGATATTCCAAGTATTCTGCTTATTTTATGTAGTGGAAACGCACAGATAGTGGGTGAAACAATCTGTTGCTGTTCATATCAAGTTGGTTTAACATTGTTTGTTTGTCAAGTGGATGTAAAATGTTTACAAACTATTAAATATGAGCGAGGTAAAACTCATACAGCCATATTTTCCCAGTTGACTTTATCTTCAGGCTGTAAAACACTTTAGCGTTTACAGTTGGTTTCGTCAGTTACCTTCAGCATATTTTTACTCTTAAACGAACTTATCATGACTTACATTGATAAAAAGAAACAAATTGCCACTCGTGAGGAACAGTAGTATGTAGGAGGTAAGTTTAAGGAGACACAATAATTTTGCTCAGAGATTACTTTTTTCATTTCACTGAAATAAGATAATGTTGCTAGAGCTTCAATTTAACACCTGCTCCTTTGGAAATGAATACATTCAAATAGTAAACCAGTGCGTTTACGAAGTGTGAATATGGAGAAGACCTTCAAATCACCACTAGAAGCATTCTGCATGCGAATATAGTTTCTTATAGTTGTTTTATTTCCATTTCAGATAGGCTGTTATCGACTCAAATATGACCAGGGTAAGTTGCTTCCACAGACGTTTTAAACTGACATTTCCACAGATTCCTACGAATAGCTTTGTTTATTATCTTAATGTAATGCTACTTTGATGGAGTATACCTCAATACACTTTTTAGACTAGTCGTCATTGATTAGTGGCGATAATGTAATATAATTCCAATCGTCAGATTTCTTCACCAACCAACATCAGTCAGAGGGATAACTGGAGACCAGGGAGTACTGGACAGTTGTGTCGATCTATTTCGGGACTCATCAGTGGCGTGTGAACACGAACCCACCAATGAACGAACTCCAAACATTCAGGTCACGAGGCCGAAATCCTAGACGATTCAGCCACGTGGGCTGGGATTCAGTGACCCACGAATTCTAATTTTGTCAACTGGAGTGAGAAGTCGTGACTGTTGGAGCTCACCATGTCAGAGTGAAGTGGATGCTCATCGAAAGCATTGGTGAGAGCAGCGCCATATCGGGACTTGACAAATTCAGAATTCACGGGGCAGTGAATTCCGACCCACTTAGTTGAATGGTCAGCGATCAATGTCTCGTAACCTGAAGATGCTGAGTTCGATCCCTAGTGGGGTCATTGGTGTGCACTGTTGAGGAGTTCCTAAATAGAACGAACCAGCTGTGTAGCACTCCCTGGTTTCCAATTATCTCCCTTACTGATGTCAGTTGTTGAAGAAATCTAACAACTGAAATCGAATTCATCCAAATCTCCACAAATCCTATAATCCAGATAATGCAGAAGCCCAGCTGTAGCATTTAGGATACAAAATTTAGTGAAGAGATTCTGTCCAAAGATTACTGTTACTGAGTTGTGAAGGTGTACATAAACGGTTTATTGAAGACGATAGCATGTGCGGAAATTCAAGCAGTAGGTGTCAACAGTAGAAGTATGTTATTTACTTGAAAATGAAGAAACATAAGGTTAAATAAAATGAAATAAATATTGGAAGACTCAAGACTGAGGAGGAGGAGGAGGAGGATTGCTTACCATACGCTTCGTAAAACAATCCGATAAGGATTACCGAGTTGGCTTGAGTGAGTGGGAGGGGGCGTCAAATTTCGCACTTAACCCCGTTAGTAGTCCTTGTTGGATTAAATTACCCAGAGTATTGTCAATTATTATTCCGATTAGTCCTAAATACCCTAGTATTTTCTTTATTTCACTTGCCCTTTCACTTTCTTAGATTCTCATATGAACTCAATAGACAGGTAGATGCTTGATCAGATTCATCGATATGCCACTAACAATCAAATGTTCCCAATTATATTTGTAATTAAGCATCCAGAGACAACAAAGTAAATTGCTTCATGCACAAAATCGTGCATGGAATGCAGAAATCTTCGAAAAGTGTGTGAAACTAGTAAGATTAGACGAATAGACGAATAAGACACTGCTTAAGGAGCTCAGAAGTAGGGTAAAGTAAGTTGTTGAGTGATTTTACTACAAGGGACAACTAAAACAGTGATGGAAATTGTCACAAAGTGAAAATCACAATAACAGTGGTGGTAATAAAGGAAGGATGCGAAGATCGATTTAACAAGGCAAAAACATAGATGTTTGTGTCGCTCTTTTCTGTCCTAAAGCCGAGATGAAAAGGCAGCTGTACATACTTCCTTATTGCACAAAATTCTAGCTTCATCTCATGGAAAGAAAACCAGGGCGTCATCTGTTTTTAGAAGTTGGGTTTGTGGAAAAGGCGGCCAATTTGCATGAAGTCAATAAACAATCTTCAGATTATTGTGAGTATCAACTGTGTGAGAAAGGCACACTGACGCTTTTCAGAGGAAGAAAACTATTTATCATTTAAAAGTCATTTCTGATGATAGAAGTAATTTCATTCTTTGCGTTATATCATAAAATAAACAGAAGGGAAATTCTCTTTTTATATCCTCAGTTGGTCGTCTACAGCCATTTCTGAATCTACTAACTTGGCCACAGTTGGAAGCCAAATATGCATCTTCTCAGCCAAGAGATTACATTGTGCTCAACAACTCACCAGAAAATTCCGATCTAAAACCTTTATTTGGATCACTTTACACTAGATATGATGCAGCATTAGCAAACGCTACAAATGAAAACGTATCAAATGAAAATAATGAAAGTGAAAAAGTCACCGAAAAGCAAGGTTTGCCTAAAATATGGACTCCAATGGGTTGTTCTACTAGTATGTCATCAGCTATAATCATTCCATATCGTAATCGAGATGAACACCTACGCATTGTAACAAATCATCTACATGCGTTTATAAGGCATCAAAAAATACCATATACCATTTTCGTGATTGAACAGGTCGGTTTATTATGAATAATATATAGAAGTATAAAGCTATTGTTCCCATTATTGTAAGAGCGGAATTTCAGCGCTGTCGTAGTGTGCGATTCTATGTTAGAAAAATGTATTCGATACAGTGTTAATAACCAGATGACGTTTCGACCAGAGTTTGTTATTCATCTTACCAATGTATTCACACGACTCGATAGATTGCCTTATATAGTCCTGCATTAATACGATTGTGAACATTGAATTGTGGTCGAAACGACACCCAGTCATTAACACTATATCACCGTGCGTTATTTTAAGTAAACATATCTGGTGTACTCATATTTTTTTCAATAATTTAATGATTCCCATTGTAACATCAGGAACACAATATTCACCGAAGAGACTCTTTTCAACGAATTTATCGTCAAGCTGTACAATCGTTTAAGTTTGTTTAAATTTCTTCACGGGATATAACTTCTTTGAAGGGTATATATGTATATATATACATACGATTGCACTCATATTTGTTATTAATTGAAGCCATTAATTAGTAACTCTAATATAAAAGTGTGTTTCCAAAGAACTGGTCATCTTAGACGAATATCATTTGCAGGTTTGTTAAATTTCTGAGGAGCCTTTATGTTGTTTGAAATTGATTAAAAGCTTCCAAGTGGTTTTCGCCCAGGAAGCTGTAAGGAAATTAGCTCAGAATCGTGGACGTATTATGGTTCAGATACTTGGATAGGTGTTTTCCACTTATCGTGTGTTTGTAACAATGTGCAGCAGACATTCAATGTCGTGCAAAATAGGAGATCTGCGAGATGACGCATTCTCGTTAAAACTTTAAGAACTTACTCTCAAAACACTTTCCCATTTAGCCTAGATCTTGTGTAGTTATGAACACAGACTACGCTTTCACATACCATCATCTTGACACTGACAAGTATTCTTCATCAGACAAAGAGAAAATTCTAATCACGAAAGGTCGTGCAGGTCGCTGAACAGATGGAATTTCTGTAACTTTGAAGTTCATTGTTATTGTTTCTTAAGTTTTTCAACATTCAATAAAGATTTATCCGTTTCCGTTACACGAGGAATCGCATGGCGAGAGAGTTAGCTCTATTCCTTCTGACACGCGTCATTCGTGCGAGAATGAAACAGAAGGTCTCTGTAGAAAGAGTGTAGATTTTACGGGTTTTCTATGCACTGAGTAGATCTCCTGCCTGAACACCATTTCCCGTGGCTGGTATAAAATAGGAGCGTCAAAATAGGAGCAAACTAGTGACGCATTTGAATTTCTCAGGTTTAAATCTACCAGTTTCAGTCATTACACAAGAACAGGTGTAGACTGTCACTTCAAGTCATCATGGGTGATTTAAAATAATCCCAGAGTGTTTAAGAAGAAATGGAAACAAGATTTCCTCGAACGTTTCGCTGTGTAAGTCACAGTTTCTTCAGAAGAATCATTCGGATATTGTTAACTATCAAAGGATATATTTTGGTGATTACATAGGTTTTCATACATCCTATTGATACCCTTTAACTATTGTCACTGCACTTTTGTATTCAGGGGTTATTCATCACAACGTTGACAGAAGATAAATTGTGTTTAGGCCTTAGGAATTACCAGTACTTTTTTCCTCTGCGACTCCGCGTTGCAAAATTTATAATTTCTTTATTGCTTTCTTGCAGACCGGAGAAACTAAATTTAACCGTGGTGCTCTTTTAAATGCTGGGTTTCTTGAGGTTTCAAAGTTGCAGGAGTATAGCTGTTTCATTTTACACGATGTGGACAAACTGCCTGAAGATGACCGTATTACTTATACGTGTAATTCACGTCCGACGCACTTTTCCTCTGCACTTAGTCAGAACGCTTACAAGTCAGTTGAAATTTTCCAAACTCAATACAAAATTGATATTTTTCACTAGATGCTAAGTTATACCTATCAGTATTCATAAAGTTACTTTACAAGACGTTACACTTTTGCCACAAAAGCAAGCTGATAGTAAAATGGATGTAAAAGTCAGAAATTCGGGATTTCTAAGTTTTGTGTCACTTCTTATCTGTAGCAAGATCAACCATTCGATTTGTTCTATGTGGAATTATTTAGACTGAGCCTTGTGTAGCCAGGTAACCATTAATCGCACAGAAATTGAACGAATCAAAGCTATGTTTTTTAATGCTTTCTGCACACGTGAAAAGGCAATCAGAAGAAATAGATTGGATTCTAGAGTTGAATTTAAGTGAATGGAAATCCCCAGTTTCTATTAGACGATATTCTTATTCATGTTTAAATACAGTCATCGGTGTACCTCTTTTCTTTGGTGAAATAGGACTGTGTTTCAATGAATAAAGTAACAAAATATGATATAATTTAGTTTCCACTTCTTCTTGTGAATTTCCATTGAACACACAATACAAATGAATAGAATTCACGGTCACATCGTCAGTAAAGTGTGTTGGAGAATCCCTGCAAAAACGTTGATTATCTCTTTTATATCCTAGTCAAAATTTGTTTACGAAATATTATTTAACTGCATCAACTTTTATAAAACTCAAAATTGTTGTCACCTGAGATTTTTCCCACATCTTACTGTGACGACAAATTTCCAGAATGGGAAGGTGTTATAAGAAACGAGGCACATGTCGAGCTGTATTAGGTTTGAAATGTAAATCCAAGCTATTTTACTTTTATTGAATAAGACTATTGTTCTCAGTTATTAGCGAGTTAAGATAGCAGTCAATATGTAGGAGATATTTAAGACATGATGGCTTCCTCAGAGTATTCTTGTTTTCCTTCATCGCCACTTTATCTCCTCTTTTACTACGTCAGTGACAGGAATCAATAAATCCTTTGAATAATTATGATGAGGGATGTAACTGCGTTGCGTCGGTGGCATAGCGGTTAGGACGCTCGCCGACCACGCACATGGTTCGGGGTTCGAACCCCGGCCGACGCACTCCTTTACCTCGCCAGGCCAAAAATAATGCTGGTGAAGAGGGAAGGTCGGGCATGAGGCTAGCAACCCCATCCTGTAAAATAAACACTGCTACAGAAACTTCAAGCCTCTAGCTTGAAGCCCTATGTTCCACTGGGGAACGTGAAGGATAAAAAAAAATGTAACTGCGTGATGCAAAGTACCACTGAGTGATGGATATTACCACACCAGTAGCTCTTGGTAGCCAGACCGAAGTGATCCGAACACAAAAGATTTAAAATTCTCTTCTGAGTAAAGTGAATACATAATAAAGGTGACAAAATCCATATTAGTTTGTTTATTAGATATATCACACAGTGAAACAGTATCATTTACTGGATGACGTTTAGAACACAATTTATTGTTTATAATCATACGAATTATGGTGACAAATACCAGTCGTCTGTATACTGCATTACATTTGAACCTAAGTTCAGAACAAAGTTTATGTTTGTCATTATTATGATTAATAGGCTCGAACTCGGTTATTTAAGTACACAATTATCTGAAAATCATGTGACAATCTCTCCACATCAGTTAATTATGTTCACAAAGTATTCTCACTTAATTTGCCTCTTCGTCCCCAATGCATATATTAGGAATGCAAAATGAATTCTCTTCTGAAATGCATCATAAGTAATCCATGTGGCAATAATGTAGATCATTTTCTCTGTTGCAATCCAATTAACCAGGTACCACTGTGTTAGATGGATGAAGGCGACTGGCAAGTAGCCCTGGATCTGATTCTCGTGCTTGTTGACACTCATCAGCAAGGTGTGCCCACAAGCTGGAAGGAACTGATGTTCGCCCTGAGATTCGAACCTGCGTCAATCACAACTGCAGCCAGACTGCGAATCAGTCAGCTATCTGGGCTCACGATTGACCTCCTGTAGGACTGCGACCGGTACAGTTAGTCGTCCATAAGGAGTAACCAGTGTCATGCATCTAGTTCTTTTTGTTGGTGTTAAGGATATGTTGGTTGTAACTGATGACTGTCGAGTGTTTCTCATGCTAACAGTTTCAGAAAGAGTGAGGTCTGTTGAACTCGATAATGATTTGGAAGAAATTCAGTTTGTTTCTTCATAAAACAATGTCTAGCATTGGCCAGCAATATTTCAGAAACCCAGTTGTTTTTCACACTTAAATCACGGACAATAAGGCATTATGTAAGACTATATCATAAGAACATGCTTCTAAACTTGTTTGCTACAGTAATAGATGAATGGAGTTCGGTCTTTGATGCATTTGAATTATCTGTGTAAATTTAAATGCACAAATTTACCTAAGTCAAAAAACATCAGTCAGATGTTTCACAATTTAGAGAAATTGCTAATTCGAAAATCATGAGTTCTTCATGACGATAACTATCTAAAAAGCATCTACTTCCAATCACACGATACCGTAGTCACTTTTAACTCTGCCTATCAGTCACTATTCCCTCGAATCTGAAGAGCTAAAATATGTGTAGCTTCAAGTGGTTTTCTTTCTACTGACTGTGTCATTATTGCTCAAGTCTTAACAGTGAATAGACATTTTGTTGAATTCAGAGAATTTGGCATTATAACTTCACCGAAGAGACGTCCTACAACAGACAAAATGACGTCAAGAGTTTACTTTCAACCTAATTTCAGTTAGGATTACTATTATCTTCCACTGACGGTTGTGAGCACGTTTTAGCAGTCAGAAGGTTATGACTTGACTATTTTACTTTTGTGTTCTTCAAACTTGGTGGGTGCTCTGAGACTATTTTTATACTTGCTTATTTACTTACTTACTTACTTACTGTTTTATCGCTTGAAAATGTCTGTTGTAAATAGTCGAATTTATAAATGATCATTGTAAGAATATAATTTTCATTTTGCCTGTTTGTAGAGGACTGTATAGGGACTTTTTCGGTGGTGTTGTGGGATTTACTCGTCAACAGTTTCTGGAAATAAATGGATTTTCAAACCTATATGAAGGATGGGGTGGTGAGGATGATGATTTATTGACTCGAGTTAGTCAAACCAAAAACTGGATGTTTCGAATCGACCCAGATATTGGTCGTTATTATACACTGAGTCATGCCACTGATAAGTTGAATGAAGTCAATCCAGACTGGTAAGCTGCTTTGTGATATCTCAGTGTTATTTTTAAACCGTGTCTGACAATCCGAAAATGTTTCTTTTGAATTAGTATTTATTAGTTTCTATAATTTTATTGATATTATAAAGAAAGCAAAGTGTTTGCTGACACTATCTAAGTGATGCACTTTTGAATTTTAAGATTCATTCACTAATAGCATACACAAATGCTTTCTTGTGCAGTGCAGCATGAAATACCCATCATTCGTTGAGAAGGTTGAAGTGTTTGTCGAATATGCACTTTATAAGATAGTCTTCAGCTAAAATGTGACCATTAACTTCAATAAAATGAGGGCTATCTTGTGCCCTGTGCAACAATTGTAAACATTGGCTTCAAGATGGATACAATTTCGCCAATTAGTCCTTAGCTGTTAGCACAGCAGTTCATCACATATAAGGTACGTTGTTGATAACAACTGTGATTCACTCCTTGAACTCATGCATCATGTCCATCAGAATGTACTCCTAATAAAGTTACTTGAAATCGGATTGCATATTTAAAACGCCATTTTTCTACCTAAAATTTTACTTCTTATCCATTTACTTTTAGCTTTACATTATTAAAGCACGCATCTACACGTATTAAAAGTGACGGACTGAATACCTTGAACTACAGTGTTATCTCCTCACAAACTATGTACAACGGTTTACTTCATTGGATTGCCGTGGATATACCATCAGTGAGGAAGAGTCATTCATAGTGAAAGTGAGTTGTGTGCGCAAGTTAAGAGTGTGCCACCTTATTCTCTCGTGTTGCAGTTATAATGAAATTGGTTCATTTGGAGTGAATTCGGTCAAAATAAGAAATGAAGTTACATAGCTCAGCTTTCTACAAGGTGTCATGACAAAGCCTTGAATCGTTTCAAATTCCTCTTTATTTCATGTGTTACAAACTATTCACTTAAGTCAATCTAAGGAATATGGAGGTATGATGAACTTTTATTTGTAGATATACAGTCTAATAGAAATTGGATGCAGTTGCAGTTGGGCAAAGTCAGTATGCATGGGAAGTTATAAAGCAAAGAGAGAGTTGCAGCGAAGAAAATTTTCTTTTCGACGAAGTCATCATCTAGGCTGTACATTCGTGTATTGATATCAAATGGATGGGAAAGTTTCAGAACAATTTCTGGTTAGGGGTTGAATAAAAATTACAATTAGGAATTAGAATGCCATAATAAACAGGGGGATGGGTAAAACTAAAACTAAGAAAATTGACATTGTGCAATTGGGGTTAGAAATGTAAAAAATAACAAAATATACAGGATGTTTGGATAAGAAACTAGTGTGATGAATAATTGTTTTAATAAAAATTACAATTAGGAATTAGAATGCCATAATAAACATGGGGGATGGGTAAAACTAGAACAAAGTAGCATAATAACTAAGAAAATTGACATTGTGCAATTGGGGTTAGAAATGTAAAAATAACAAAATATACAGGATGTTTGGATAAGAAACTAGTGTGATGAATAATTGTTTATGCAATCAGGGATTAAATATGTAGAGATAATAAAATGACAAAATAAACAGGAGGTGTGGATATGAAAATATGGTAGTGTAGACAGGGATTAAGAAAACTTAAAATAACATGAATAAACAGGAAGTTTAGATAAGAAAGGCGATGGGATGGTCATTAATAAAAAAATTTACCTGTTTACGATGGCCATGGCAAGGACAGGGGTTGAATGTATTTCTTTTGGATACAAAGGGTGGGTTTGAGTTTTTGGATAGCTAACGCCTCAGCTATGCCCAAATGTCTTGATTTCACTCCCTTTGATAGGTTTGGTTGAATCTTGTATATTACTTTGAAGGACTTTTCGAAAGGCGCTGAATGTCCTGAGTTGACCAGATGTTCTGTCACTGAACTGTTTACACGTTTTTGCTCTCCTTTTACCAGCCAGGCTGGGTAGTGTTCACGAGCGCGTTTTCCAAGTTGGCGCATGGTACGGCCAATGTACTCAGCTCCACAAGAGCAAGTGAACTTGTATATGCATGTTGAGGTGGCCCGATGCGACAGCTTGTCTTTCGCGTTCTGGTTGAATAGTTTCTTGCAGGAAAACGTCAGTCGTAGGCTTGCGGCGAAGTATGTTTTCCTCAGCGATTTGGAGAGGCGTTTGCGAAGGATTTCTGCTTCGATATCACCTTTGAATTCTAGATTGAGCAGAAGTATTTTCTTTGGGACGGATTGGACTTGTTCTGAAGTCTTCTTCGGTTTGAGGTTCTTGTCTATGAACCTGGGCGGGAAACCGTTTTCCATCAGGGTTTTTCGGAGATTACGCAGTTCTTCTTCGATCACTTCCTCACTGCATATCTTCCGAATCCTCGAGGAAAGAGCGTGTATCAGGTTCCTCTTTCTGCTTAGCGGCACGAAGCTTTGAAAGTTGATGAATTGTCCAGTCCATGTAGGCTTTTTGTATATGGACCTTTTCAAAGAGTCGTTTTCATTTCTTGTCAGATGGACGTCCAGAAAGTGGAACATTCCGTCGGATTCGGTTTCAAGTGTAAAGTCGATGTTTGGGTGGGCATTGTTGAAGGTTTGAAGTAACTTTTCGAGGTCCAGCTTCTCATCACAAATGATGAAAGTATCATCAATGTATCTCTTGTAGAGATGTAGGTCGTCGATAGTTGATGATAAGGGGTTGTTTTCGAGGCTGGCCATAAAACAGTCGGCTAGGAGTGGTCCGAGTGGCGAGCCCATTGCTACGCCATCTGTTTGTCTGTAGATTTCATTGTTGAATCTGAAGTAGACGTTGAAGGTGCAGCGTAGTAATAGCTCCTTTAGATAATGTACCGGTATACCGACATCTATGCTGTTGCATTGGATGAAGTCACACAGAAAGCATATAGTTTCTGTCAGAGGAACATTGGTGAACAAAGAGACGACGTCTAGGGAGACCATCTTTTTATTTGCGAGGTTGACATTTTTAATTGAATCCACGAAATCGAATGTGTCGCGGAGGTTGTATCTCGACAACTTTTCTTTCACTGGTCCAAGAATTTCTACCAGCCACTTCGCGATTAGGTGATATGGCGAATTGATCATATCTAATATTGGGCGAAGTGGGACGCCCTTTTTGTGCACTTTGGGTAGTCCATACATTCGTGGCGATGTAGAACCAGATGGGCGAAGTTTTTCATAGAGTTCTGTATTGATAATCGATTCATCTTTCATCTTTTTCAATAAGTTGGTTAGCTGGAGCTCCGTCTGTTCAGTTGGATCTTTTTGGGTCGTCTGTTTTTGAAATTTGCTGTCATCAGATAGAATTGACGAGAGTTTCTTCAGGTAGTCTGACTTGTTAAGCAGGACAATTCCAGAACCTTTGTCTGGTCGAGTTATTATCAGATTTTCATTTGATTTCAATTCTTTGAGTTGCTTCCGATGTTCTTTTGAAAGCATATTACGAAGTCTAGGTTTTTTGTTGATGTAGTCGAGGCAGCAATTCAAAACAGTTGATTTGAAGTGTTTTGCACTGTCATATGAAATTGGGACTAGATCATTCGTCTGACTAATCAAATTCTCGAATTGTACTTTGGTGTTCAATTCATTTACTTTTGATGATGCATCACAGAATTTCGGTCCGAGCGACAACAGTTGCATTTGAATCGGTGAAAGTGAGACATCCGAAAAATTGAATACATATTTCTCGGGACAAGATGGGAAAGCTGTTTCCTTGGTGACTGATTTTAGGCTCTGTTTAAGTTTCATGATGATATTTTCCTTTCTCTTCTCTGAGACTGTATTGGCGTAGTGTTCGAATGACACCCGTTCATCAACAGTTAAATCATAAAGAACGTGGGAGCTTATTGAGACGTTTTGTTCAAGTTCATCTAATCTGGATCGAACGGCATCAATGTGATTCTGGGTGTGTCTTCTGAGCGTGCGTGAATTGGGAGATATATGGTTTCGTCTCAGATTTTTCCAGAATGCTTTCGGGTATTCATGCTTATCCAGACAGCTTTTCCAGAAGGAAATTTTCGCATTCGCTTCAGCAAGCTTGACGGACAAACGTAGAAACTTGTTCAGTTCCTTTACCGTCGAACGGTCCTTGCTCCTTTTCAAATCACGGAATATACACATTTGATCATAGGGAATAAAAAGACAGTTGCAGCGAAGAAAATTTTCTTTTCGACGAAGTCAAGAAGAAGAAGAAAATTTTCTTCGCTGCAACTGTCTTTTTATTCCCTATGATCAAAGAGAGAGTGTAGCACAGTCTCTAGGAAAACATGCGGTAGAAGTTCACTTAGATCTGGGAATGCAAAATGTGACATTTATTTGTCACATAAACGTTTATGTGTTAAACTTAGTACATAATACGTGAAGGGATGTTAAAGTAACCAGAAGAAAGCATTCATCCAATGTCGCTTGTTTCCATTCTTGATGAGACCTACACTGAAATTCACCGAACTATTACAATCTCAATATCTTAGTGATACCACATGTAAGCATCTGATATCAGTTTAATCATAACTGGAACATCAGTTGTCTCTGACAAATTAGTTGGTATATAGTTTAACTAGTTATTAGGAAGGCATCAGTTGGAGTTCCCCGTTTCGTTTTTCTTTCATCATTACGCATTATATCAAAATCAAACCAACATTTGAAGGCCGTTTCAACTTCACTAATTGTGAAGTTAATGTAGTTAAACTCAGCCACAAACTAACTTCACTTCATCTTTTCGTCATCGATAAATTAAATGACATTTCACTTATCAGTGAAGTAATTTGTTCGTGAACTCATATTACTTGATTTACTGCAAACAATAAGTCCAGCTAACTACTCTAATAAAGGAGTAGTATCCAATGTCTCAGCGAAACACTGATTTGTCAGAAGCATTTCAAATCAACTATTCTGAGTGTCAAGCAACTAAATTACTGTTGACCAGTTGAAAGATGTATTAAGAGTCTTGAAAAATCACTTAGACAGATTATGCTAATTTCTTATTTGTTTGTTTTTAAATAAGTAAATTTATTCATGAGTAATGTTCATTCTGTATTAATTTGTGAAACAGTATTATTTACTGGATGACGTTTCGAAAACAATTTATTGTTCATGATCATTTCAATTAATATCAATATGAACAATAAATTGTGTTCGAAACGTCATCCAGTAAATGATACTGTTTCACTGTGTGATATATCTAATAAACAAATTGACATGAAATTACATACAACCACAGTGCCCAAGTTTTACACGTGTATCAATGTTCATTCGGATTTTGTTTTCTCATATGATATTAAGATGACCAGTTCGCTTTGATTTCTTTTTGTAGATGTACACTGATACAAGATGAATTTTTCTGCTTTATATCAAGAAAGACAGAGGCGAATTCATCCTGGAAATACACTTTGTTGATACAAGTGAATACACAGTCGATCTACAAACATTTTACTTTTGGTTTTGTATAATAAAACTCGTCCTTGTATTCACCAATTTTACACCTTATATTCATATATAAATATAAATAATGATATGTTCAGGTATACAATAAATGTATTATTTTAATCTTTTCTTTTTAAATCTTTCTGCCTTATGTGCTCACGAGTTTGCAAGATTTTCAACACAATTCACATTCACTTAATTCTTTTGACTGTATTTACATGAATGGGAAAACGTATTACGGCAACAAAGGTGTATTTGAAAATCTTGTAAGTTGCTGCAAATTGAAATATTTCAGGATTTTCACCGTGGATACTAATCATGCTGGTGTGTAAATCTTCGTTAAAAATTTCTGACTGGAACAATTATGTGTATTCTGATTATTTTACGTAACTTTTATCATGGGACTTTGCATTAAAATTCAGCTCTAGGAGTGACGGCAAATATTAATTCAATAACTTGATCAGCATACATAACATTTGTAAGGATCTAAAATCCCCTTCTCAAGTAGTTTAAGAATAAGCTTAATCTTTTTCTTGAAAATTGGGGTAAGTGGGCAACAGATTTGGCCTTGTTTACCTTCAGGACATACAATCTGTGCTGTGCTTATGTTCTTACTGAAAAAACCCAATTCAGCACACACCATTTCAGAAGCCGAAATTTGATTCGTTAAGCAGACTTATTGTCGATTTCGCAACATATTTTAGATTTTCCTTTCTGCTTGAAGTTACAAAGTATCAGTCACTAGGCTGCAGTTGAATTATTTCAGTGAGTGGTAGACAATAGTGAGTTCCCTGTGTTCTACTGATGTTTTGCAGCAAAACCACAGACAAAGTGGAGGTAACATGTGGACACTTGTCCGATGAGCACATATATAACAACATAATCATGATTTCCTTATGATAGAATGAGTGAAAACTGTTAGAAGTTTCAACTATTCATCTTTACCTAACTATTGTCGTGGTATAAACATGGATAAAGGTGACTCCAGAATAAGTAAACTTAGGAACATTGCACTAAGCGCTACTGACTGATACTTTCTTCAATAGATCTTCAGAGTTTACTGACTAACTCTGTTCAAAGTGACTGTTGGAAAGTGAAGTAAATAAAAGTTTCATTTCAAGCATGCTTCTATTTCAAGATGCATTATTTACATGGGAAATTCATTTACTGCGACACTGTGAACGAATATCGGAAAGGTGTTGTCTTACGTCTTTACATATTACAAAAATCTGCTGTTTACGGATCAGACGTTTCTTCATTTTCTGTCATTATTATCGGTTTCGAGACGTTTTTCAGCTCTTTTCAAAGCTATCTTCACTGAACATCTACTCTTTTTCATAACACTCAATGAGGATTTTTAAGCTAATTTTGGAGCTATCTTATATGCTGTTAGGAAACCACAAATTTAACAATAAATTGTATTTACCCAGAAAGCTAGTAAATCCAGAGACGATCTCTAGCTCTTGCGCTTTTCAGGCAACTACAGTTTTAAATTCATGTAGTACTGGACGCGCGGCTGCAGACATTTCTTCCAAAATCAGTGATGAATGTTGGCAAACGTTTACGACATTATGATACAGCACAATCAACACTGAATATGTGCACATATTTTAAAATTACATGTAATCAACAGCACCATAAATTCGATAAACCGCGCACAAATCTGCGAAATGAATATCCAGTTATTTCCGGTTCATTATGGATTCATTCCTTGTTTTCATTTGTTAATTCGGTGCATAGGCGTAAACTGATCCTCATAAAATTGTTACTGTAAATTCTTCTTGCTTTAATTATGTATCTATAGTGCTAAGAGGTTAAAACATATAATCCATTCAATTGGAACTTTTGATATTTCTGGCAACCAAAATTAGCATTTCTCGAGTTTTCTATATAATTTCAGTGAAAAGTCTCTCACGAGTGTACATCAATTGGAGGATCGTTAGGAGCTAGGAAGAACTATACATCTGTTGTGTCTCGCTCTGCGACTTCTCAGCACTGTGTGCCAACAACCCCATCATGGATTGAATAAATGACATATGCATCACTCTGTGAACTCGTTGACCTTTCGTACTCTCGGCTGGAGTGTAATTACTCATGAATTGTCACTGTCAGTCAGTGATACGACGCTGTTGACAAACAGTGTCCTCGATAGACATCCACTTTGCAGTAGATATTATGGACCCTACCAGTTATGACTTCTCATCAGAACTCCAGGATATCCATCCTGCAGCCACTGAATAGTTTTAAACAAGGACTCACCAGCTGTCTTGTCCTGCTTGTTTCCAATGATTCTCTAAATGCTATCGTTTCACGACGAAACCTACCTTGCAGTTGACTGAAACTCTCCAAACCCCGGGAATTCTAACATCACCCGCCTGAACAGCAGTGGCTAGAGCCTTATTATAAGAATTCAATAGGAAATGAGGTTTATCTGATCAGCAGGTGAAATGGATGCTACGAAAGAAGTGTGATAAATCTTTAGGACAAATTTTGATGAAATAAAGTCGTTCGAATGACTGATCTCAAGGTTTTAGCAGGTGGTTAAGCTGAGTAAAGTAAATAAATATTCAAGCTAAAATGTTCATATTCAAGTTTCTCCCACATTACCTTTGTTTAATGTGATTCATTAGATATACTAGTTAGCGAATCCTGGTTCGTGGAGTTTTAAATTACTTTGACAGTGATATCACGCATGTATGATTGGATTGAAATGCTTATTTTAGTCGCGGAAAGCATTTGTATAATTCAGGGATACATTTGAATCTACTGAAAATGTAGGCAAATTGATGAGCACTGGAAGTAAATCTTCGGAGATTTCGGCGGTTGATTTGAACGTGTTTTTCAGGAGAAGTAATGCTTTCTACCTTTTTGTGCAATATTTTGCTTGTCGAATGCAGAGGTGAGTGTGTTCAAACAGAGTAGGTGTGATTTAAGATCATCCTACTGATAAAAGATAGTTTTAAATGAATCAAGAATAATAATAATTATAGTAATAATAATGATAATAATAGGTAAAATATTAAGTAAGACGTATTACCATGGTAGATTCAGAGTCACGACCATCTCCTTCTGTACACAGAGACCTGGTTTATAAACTCGAATTGTACAAGCCTCCACAATTGCAAGCATCTTTCTGTTTCTTTGTCTGCTGACAACAGTGAATGACTTGACAGCGTCGATATCATGTCCGTAGTCCACAAGATGTTTTGTTATCGAGCATTCGGGCCATTTACACTGAGCTGTTTTCAACCATTTTGACAAATGCTCCATCATGTGAGTAGATAATCGCCCATCCATACGACCTATGTATTTGCTTCCACAAACACACTCAAATTGATATACGCAGTTTGAAGTGTCGAGGATTGGCGACTGGTCTTTCCCAGATTGTTAAAGCACTCGTTTAGTGGTGTTAAGGAAAAAAATTTTGCAGTGTAATAAGTTCTCTAGATAGCTTTATCGAGTCTTCGTTTGACTACATCCTGTACATCATCTCCTTTGAATGGCAAATTGATATAGACGGATTTCTTCGCAACTGTTTGAATTGTTTTGCAGGGGCTAATTTCTTTAGAGTATTTATCAATAAACTTCTCAGGATATCCATTCTTAGATAGAATATCCTTCAGAGCTTTTATTTCACGCTCAATTGCACTGTCAGAACAAATTTTCCGCGCTCTATTGAACAGTATTCTAAGTTCTTTTTATACTGAATTGGAACAAAGCTCTTGAAATGCATGTACTGTCTTGTCCATGAAGACTTTCTAAATATAGATCTTTCGATTGTGCCATCATTCACCTTCGCTAAAAGAACGTCTAGGAATTCAATAGTATTGTTTTCCTCGTGTTCTACTGTGAAATTGGGAATCGGGTGGCATGAGTTGAATTTTATCAACATGTCTTCAGCTTTTGATCTGTTTCCACAGACAATAAAAATGTCATCAACATATCTTAGGTATACATCCGTTTCTTGTATATGTTGCTGCAAGGTACCGGTTTCTAGGCGTGACAAGAATAAGTCTGCGGAAAGTGGTCCCAAAGGGCTTCCCATTGCGACACCATCAACTTGACGGAATGGACGCCCGTCGAATTGGAATTGGACATTTTTAGTGCATAAAAGTAACAATTTCCTCAATCCCGATGTTGGAATGGGTATGTCTTCAGCTTCTTTACATATAAAGTCGATAGTCTCAACGACTGGCACATTTGTGAAGAGGGAGGTGACATCGAAAGAGACCAGATGCCTATCAGATACATTGAAATCTCTAATTTGCTTGACAAACTGAAATGAATCAGAAACTATATACCTTCGGAAACGTTTTCGCAAGGGCTGCAACAATTCACAAAGCCACTGTGCTAATTTGTGGTATGGTGAGTTTATCATAGAGAGTATAGGTCTTAACGACGCTCCTGGTTTGTGTATTTTTACGCGTCCGTATAATTTTGGGATTTGTGACCCGGTCAGTTTGATAATCCTAAATGTATTTACATCTTTTTGAAGAGTTGCTGTAGATGCTGCACAATTTTCCTTTCGGTCGATAACGTTTGATCTTTTGCATGATTATCCAATTTGAATTTAGATTCATCAGAGAGAATTTGATGCATTTTCTCGAGATAATCTATCTTATTCATTGGCACTACACTTTGTCCTATATCAGCTTGTAAAATAACAAGATTATTGTCTTTTCGGAGATTGTTTAGAGATCTCCAGTGTTCTTTGGTGATATGCGAGTTTTGATTGGCCGGCATTATTCGAAATTGATGAGCAATATCAACCATCTTTGATTTCAAGCAGCTTTCGCTTTCATTGGACGTAGCATGTAGCCCCATAAGTTGGTCATGAAGATTTTAGATTTGACATTCGATATCATTTTGCTCTATCTTTTTCATGGGAACGCAGAAGTTGAATCCCAATGACAGAATTTCTGCTTGTTCTTTTGATAGGGAAACATCAGATAAATTGTGAACATAATTAGATATATCCACTGGGAAAATTTCATCTGGCGGTTCCGGATGTAGTAACCGCTTAAGTTGCTTTTCTTCTGACTCTTTCGTCTTTTTAGAATTGGCATACAGATATGTAGTGAAGTTAAGATAACATACGAAGTTTAAGTCATTTTGTACACTGA